CATTTGAGGGCTTCCAAGACCGAGGAGTGGAATTTGTGAAAATAATAATAATAATAATAATAATAATAATAATAATAATAATAATAATAGATTGTCCGCTGCTGGCTTGGCAAAGGGGGGGGGGGAATGAGTGACGGGGAATCTAAAAAGCCCTCATTTTCCGTTTCCCAGAGGAAAAAACCCGTCTCCAGAACCAGCTCTCCCAGTTGAACAACAGCCTGGAAAACTACAAGCGAGAAGGGTAAGAACAGCCGATTAAAATTCTACACCTGCGTAAGGATACCCTTGCAGCGTTCAGCTCCGCAATCCCAAAGCTTTGGCAACCCCAAAGGGCCGAGAGAGGCGAGAAGTCGATCACACCTTCCTGGTTTTCTGCTTTTAGCCCCAGAGGTAGAGTGTCTCTGGCTGGGGAGGTTTGATCATTAGCCGCCAAGCCTAAATGCCCTTCTGCCCCCACCAAGTTAGTGGAATATCACCACACGAGTGTCTGGAGGCAGTTGGAGGATGGATGGCGGCTAACAGATAGAGGTTGAATCCTGACAAGGCAGAAGGACTGTTCTTGGGGGACAGAGGGTGGGCTGGTGTGGAGGACTCCCTGGTCCTGAATGGGGTCACTGTGCCCCTGAAGGACCAGGTGCACAGCCTGGGGGTTATTTTGGACTCACCGCTGTCCATGGAGGTGCAGGTCAGTTCTGTGTCCAGGGCAGCTCCATCTGGTATGCAGGATGAGACCCTCCCTGCCCGCAGTCTCACCAGAGTGGTGCATGCTCTGGTTATCTCCCGCTTGGACTACTGCCATGCGGTCTCCGTGGGGCTGCCTTTGAAGGTGACCCGGAAACTGCAATTAATCCAGAATTCGGCAGCCAGACTGGGGACTGGGAGTGGAGACCACATAACACCGGTTCTGAAAGACCTACACTGGCTCCTAGGACGTTTCCAAGCACAATTCAAAGGGTTGGTGCCGACCTTGAAAGCCCTAAACGGCCCAGTATCACTGAAGGAGCGTCTCCACCCCCATCGTTCTGCCCAGACACCGGGGTCCATCTCCCGAGGGCCTTCTGGCGGTTCCCTCCCTGCGAGAAGCGAGGTTACAGGGAACCGGTGGAGGGCCTTCTCGGTGGTGGCGCCCTCCCACCAGATGTCAAGGAAATAAAGAACTATCTGACTTTTAGGAGACATCTGAAGGCAGCCCTGTTTAGAGAAGATTTTAATGTTTGACTTTTTTTGTGTTTTTAATATCCTGTTGGGAGCTGCTCAGAGTGCCTGGGGAAACCAGGGAATAATGGGCAGGGATGGGCAGGGAATAATAATAATAATAATAATAATAATAATAATAACAACAACAACTCAGAAGAAGAGCCCTGCAGGATGAGGCCTCCCGGTGGCTCCATCCCTGGCCCAGTTTCCTGCTTCCAGCAGAGGGAAGCAGTGGCCTCGCCTTTGCTGGTCCTCTCATTTAGGGAGGAGACGCCGACTGACGAACCATTTCTTTGTTTCCGCAGAAACAAAAAGGATAAAACAATCCAGCGCTTGAAGGATCAGCTCAACACACGACAGACATCTTCCGGCATGGTCCTTTCCCCTTCCTTCCTTATCCCTTCCCTCCTCCTTTTCATAGCACCTGGAGTCCTCTGCAGTCTCCTGTAGTTCCTCTGGCTTTTGCACTTGCAAGCACCCGAAGAAAACTTCCTTTTTTTCCGGGCTGTGTTTTTTTCTCTTTTAAAAAACCTTCTTCCTGCTTCGTCGACCGAACCGCCGCTCCTCCATCTGCAAAGCTGCTTGCGAGATACCAGAGGGCATCCATACCCACCCACACCCACCAGTCTTGAGTGCGAATCCAGCAGTTGCGGGGTTTACCTGTTGCGTCCGAATCCAGCCCTGAGGCTGAAACGCAGATATCGCTGCAACCTAACATATCGTTACAAAAATGGGGGGGTGCCTTCCCCTCTCTCTGCCCAAGATTTTGGGGAGAGGGGTCCCCAGCTCTCACCCCAGGTCTCAGTCCCTTTGGAGAATTGAGGCACGGCGGAGACTGTCATGGCTTTAAAAAATACAGTTTATTAGGGGGAGGCAAGCCACTACTCTGTTATCATGTTTGTATTCTAAGTTTGACTTGGCAAAATCCCCCCTGGAAAGCCTAATTTATGATGCAAGCTGTCTGGGAAAATTAATGAGCAAACGCCTAGATTTTATTTCATCAGAACTGAGAATGATGGCGTCTGCTTTAAAAAGACTTACCAGCTTTTTAAAAAAAGGGAGAGCCTTACAAAGTTCACACAGAAGCATAATATTGTTTACCTTAACTCACCTGTGGAAACAACTCAGAGGCTATTAAGAAGAAAAAGGATAACAACAAGAAGATTGAAAGATGGGACTGGTGAACACTAAAAGCAGCAGAAATATGAGATGCATGGGAACCCCCAACAAAAATATATAATTTGGCAAAATATTTGGACTTTGTGATTTGTATTGGTATAATTTGGAATAATTAATGTGATATAATTGGATTGTTAAATGGAAAACTTAATAAAAATTATTTATAAAAAAAAAAGAAATACAGTTTATTCGCCTCTTTACGCCTCCAGTCTGCATGCAGGGAGTCCAAATTTTGCAGCACGGCCGTTTCAAGAGGGGCTTGGCCCCCCACAACTGTGCAGTCCTGCAGTCCAAATACTGCTCTTCCTAAAAACTCCTTTATTCAGCATCCCAGCGGTCAGTTTTATGGATGTTTGGAAGTATGGTTAATTCCCCCCTGGTAGGGTTGCCATGTTTCAAAAACTGAAAAACCAGGACACCCCTAAAGTTCTTGAGTGTCTTTTTTAGGAAGACACCAAAATTGTTGAGATTCTTTTAGGTGAACCCCAACATAATTGAGCTTCTGTTTTTAGGAAGACCCCAAAATTGTTGAACTTCCTTTAGGTGAACCCCAATATTGGTGAGGTTCATTTTTTAGGAAGACCCTAAAATTGTTGAGATTCTTTTAGGTGAACCCCAACATTGTCGAACTTCATTTTTTAGGAAGACCCCAGAATTGTTGAACTTCTTTTAGGTGAAACCCCAACATTGTTGAGCTTTTTAAGGGCAAACCCCAACATTGTTCCGCCTTTGAAATCCGCCTTTGAAATCCCAGCAATGTCCAGGAAAATCCGGATTTGCAGCAATCCTACCCCCCAGATGTCAACTAAGAAAGGAGTCAATTGACTAGGTTCAGACTGGACGGTCACTTGGTTAAGGAACTCTTACACCCTGCAAGACTTTGGCATAGATTTGCATGGGATCCTGAATTTTGGGGTTCGTAGTGAATGAGCCCATTCAGAATCATTGCCCTCTCTGGAGACAGATCATAGCCACCCTGGCAAGTAGCCATTCTTCTCCATGAACTGCAGAAAGACAGAGAGAGGTTTGTGGCTGAGCGCAGGATTTGAACCCTGCTCTCCCAGCTCCTTAGGACGCGGCTGGCGCTGTGGGTTAAACCACAGAGCCTAGGGCTTGCCAATCAGAAGGTCGGCGGTTCGAATCCCCGCAATGACGGGGTGAGCTCCCGTTGCTCGGTCCCTGCTCCTGCCAACCTAGCAGTTCAAAAGCACGTCAAAGTGCAAGTAGATAAATAGGTACCACTCCAGCGGGAAGGTAAATGGCGTTTCCGTGCGCTGCTCTGGTTCGGCAGAAGTGGCTTAGTCCTCCTGGCGACATGACCCGGAAGCTGTACGCCGGCTCCCTCGGCCAGTAAAGCGAGATGAGCGCCACAACCCCAGAGTCAGCCACGACTGGACCTAATGGTCAGGGGTCCCTTTACCTTTACGGAGAGGAGGGGACCCCTTTCCTATCTCCCGGCAGAAGAGTTTCTTTTCATGCTGTTATAGGAATTCTAAGTTATATACAGTGGTACCTCGGGTTACATACGCTTCAGGTTACATACGCTTCAGGTTACAGACTCAGCTAACTCAGAAATAGTGCTTCAGGTTAAGAACTTTGCTTCAGGATGAGAACAGAAATCGTGCTCCAGCGGTGCAGCGGCAGCGGGAGGCCCCATTAGCTAAAGTGGTGCTTCAGGTTAAGAACAGTTTCAGGTTAAGAACAGACCTCCGGAACGATATACGATATACGATATCTTGATTGTCATTGTCCGATGCAGAACAATGAAATTGAAAACTATATAAAACTACTACAAAACTACATAAAATGTTCATAAACCCCTAAAAACTCTGAAACCCCATTTTAAAATACACTATACTATATGTTGAATGATGTTGGATAGAAATCAAGGGGTTTTTAGCTGTAATGCTTTGAGATAAGGATTTGCTGAATAAATAATTTGAATTGGAATACAAGAAGGGGAGGTATGAGGAGGTCAGGGAAACATGTCATTGAAAACTAAGTATTGTGAATTGTACGTGTTTTTAAACTTTTTTGCTTTTTTCTTTTTGTTTGTATAAAAATTGGAAACTTTAATAAATATCTTTTAAAAAAAAATACACTATACTATAGAGACCCCTTATGCTGCGTTTAGAACCAGAATTGCTTTTGCGTAGAAACTGTTTCTCAGGCGGCTAGTCCTAGTCTTTATAACCCTGTACCTTCTTCCAGAAGGCAGAAGCTGAAAGAGATCATTTCCGGGGTGCGCACTGTCCAGCGCTATCTCTGCCGCTTTCTTACGGCACCTGGCAGCATAGATTTGATCCAAGGTGGGAAGAGTGCGCCAATTATTCTCTCCGCAGTCTTTACAACCCTGGATAGCATTGTTTTTTTCCCTGGCCGTGCAGCTCCCAAACCACACAAACAGACCATAAGTTAATACACTAATACACTTAATACAATTTAAGTGTTGCAGGGGGGGAAAAACCCAATCATTCAGTTTGTACAACACACATTCATAAGGACTCAATACTGGCTCTTGGATAAGGGGGAAAGGAGCAGGTTTTTTTTTCTTATAACAGTGCTTTCCAAATAAATAAATAAATGTAGTGGCTTGGTTCAGTTTCGATTCCTCTCGGCTGCTG